GGGGGTGCAGGAAGAGATTGGACAAAGATCTTACACCTATGGACAAGGACAATGAGGGGGCGAGGGCCTGGGGTGAGATGGGAACCAGGTAGAGGGGAGCTATAGGGGGGAAAAGAGGAACATCTGTAATAATCTGAACAATAAAGATTTTTTTAAAAAGTTGGTATTGCCCAGTTGGTGTGGTTCAGTGATTGAGCTTTAACCTATCAACCAGGAGGTTACAGTTTGATTCCTGAGTTGCAGGTTATATCCTCATAGGAGGGTGTGTAAGAGGCAGCTGATCAGTGATTCTCATCATTAATGTTTCTCTCCCTCTCCCTTCCTTTCTAAAATAAATAAAAATATTTTTTTAATGTTAAAAAAACCCAACACTGCCTATTCACTAGGAAGATTGAGTATGAGCAGACATTTATAGAGATTATAAGGAGAACAGGGACTTCCATTTTTCATCGTGGCCAATTTTACTGTGAACTTAAAACTGTTCTAAGAAATAAAGGTGGGCCTGACTGGCTATCATGGCTCAGTGATTGAGCATCAACCTATGAACCAGGAGGTCACAGTCTGATTCCCGTCAGGGCACATGCCCAAGTTGCAGACTCAATCCCTAGTATAGGATATGTAGGAGGCAGCCAATCAATGATTTTCTGTCATCATTGATGTTTCTATCTCTCTCGCCCTTTCCCTTCCTCTCTGAAATAAATTTTTAAAAAAACTTTTTTTAAAAGTTCGCTCAGCCAGTGTGGCTCAATGGTCAACATCGACCCATGAACCAAGAGGTCACTGGTTCCATTCCAGATGAGGGCACATGCCCAGGTTTCAGGCTCAATCCCCAGTAGTGGGTGTGCAGAGGCAACCAGTTGATGATGTTTCTCTCTCATTGGTGTTTCTCTCTCTCTTTCTCTAAAAATAAATGAAAATATATTTTTAAAAATAATAAATAAATAAAGTTGGTATATGGGAACTCTCTGTGTCCTCTGGTCAATTTTGCTGTGACTCTAAAACTGCTCTAAAAAATAGTCTTTTTAAAATGCATTTTTAAACAATAAGTACAAAACTAAATAGCTCTAAATTAAGAATAGATAATATGAAAGAATATAATAGAAATTCCAGAAATAAGATTTAACTTATCAAAAAGTATAATTTATGAAGTATTAAGAGGAATAAGAATGTGGAGAAATGAATCATAATTTAATAAATATTGTTGGGAAGTTAGTTTTCATTATGAAGAAAATTAAATATCAATTCATACTTCACAATAAACAACCAAACACAATAATATGAATCCTTGATAGGTTAAAAATGATAACTGTAGACACCCCAAAAGTTGTAGAATGAAATGCTATATTTGTTTAACTAATTGTACCAAGGTAAAAAATTTTCAAATAATGAAACAAGATGTACAGATAACTGATGTAATGGAATCACATAAAACACTAAAACACTAAAACAATAAAACTAAAAAGATATCTACAACATAGCAGATACTTAAGAAATGCAGGTTGATAAATTAATATAATGGAGCACAAGACCCTCTCCTCAGCCAGGGCAGTAAATTTCTAAATTTCCAAAAATGGAATGAGTAGTCTTGAGCAAATGAAATGGCCACCTTTGTTCTTGGTTAGAACATCTCCACACCATCTCAAGATGTCAGCTGTCTGTAATTTAATTTATAAATTTAATGCAATCCCAATTTTGACACTGATCATAAGTTATAAGTCAATCCTAAAGTTCATAAAAAAGATAAACACACAAGAATAGCTAAGAAAACACTAAGGAGGAAGAGCTCAGTAGGGGGACTAGCCCTGACATTAAAATATATAACAAATTCTCTGCAACAGATGAATAAACAGGTCAGTGGAACCGAAGTTCAGAAACAGCAAAATGACATTTTTAAAAAAATGTAGTAAATGAAATACTGGTATCTCAAGTATTGAGGCAATGCTAATCTTTTTAATAAAGTGAACTAATGAAACAAAATGGGAGATCTATAGGAAGTGATTTAAATGGATTCACAGAATTGGTTTTTGGGACAACAGGATACCCATTCAGAAAAAAAGATTAAATTAGACCCATTCCTCAAACCATATATAAGAATAAATTCCAAATTTACCAGAGATCTAAATATAAAAAATATAAAAAGGCATGGGTGATAATAACCTGGGTGTAGGAGGAAACTTTTAAAATATGACTAAAGTCCAGATGCAGTAAAACAAAAAGGTTGGTACATTTTACTACATAAAAATAAAAATTTGCGTGGGGAAAAAGTCCACCATAAGCAAGCTCAAAAGACAAATGACAAACTGGAAGGAAATATTCATAATTTATATCAGAGATAAAGGACCAATATTCCTAACTTATAAGGAGTATTTTTAAAAGTTGAGGGGGAAAAGATGCCCCGCACTCTCTTTCAGAACAAGTCAGGGTGGAAAGTCCCCAGAAAAGAGGGTTCTGAGGTCCGTGGGGTCTCTGGGCTACAAAGTGTTACACATGTGCCTGTGCCTGTGCCAGTGCCAAGCGCCAGGCGGGTCGGCCCTGTCGCCCCCTCCTCACCCCGCCCCCCGGGGCGCCCCTCACCATCCTCGGGGCAGAAGAGCGCCGGGAGCGGGGCGGGCTGCCCGGCTCCTGGCTGACCTCAGGCTCTGGTCTCCCGATCTCTTCAGGTTCTGAAAGTCCTCCTGCAACTTAGTGTGAAAGTTCTTCGCGGGGATGGGGCCCCAGAGCCCCAGGACTCTCACGCCAGCAGCGGGGGGCTGGGCGCAGCCATCCTCAGCTCCATCTGCCCCCACTGCCGGCCGGCCCCACCCAACAGGCTAGTGCCTAGATCTTTCATTTTCATTTCTGTGAAAACTGCTTCTGCCTTAGGTTGCAGTCTTGAGGTAACAAACAACAGCTGCCCCGGATTTATGTCAACATTTTGGGACAGATGTTGCTGTCAGACAAATTCTGAGTCTAAATCCTGGGCTCTATCATTTCTCAGTGGAGTAACCTCAGTCAGTGGCATCTGTACAGTGGGCATAGCCACAACCATTTCATGATATTATTGTGAGGATTCAATGAGATAGAGTCTGTAGAGTGTCTAGCATATGTTTTAGAAATCAGCATTCTCAGGGCTCTAGGACCCTGCATGAGGCCTTCCCAGCGGATCCTAAACTGAGGAAGTTGGGGCCACAGGAGCAGCAGGAAGTCCTGCCCTCAGGGGACCCGGTGCTTCTGCCCCATGGAGATCAACAGCTCCTGCACTTCTATGTATGGCAGTGCCAGAGCCAACACTCGACACTGTAGGCAGCTGTGGTGGCCCTGATGTCCAGCACCTGGGCCAACCAGTCCCCAGGCTTCTTCATGCCGCTTGGCAAGCAGGTGAAGGTGGTTGCTCAGCACTTGCCCTTCATTGGGAACACCCTGGGCCAGCTGGCAGCCTCCGCCCCTCCTCAAGCATAGGTCAGGGCTGCAGGTACAGTGCTGGGCCAGGCATTGCGGGCTACTGTGCTCACTGTCAAAGGAGCTGCTCTGGGCTACCCATCGAGTTCTGCAGCACAAGCAGATGGTGCTGTGTGGGACACAGCTGGCAGGGCAGACCCTGCAGTTCACCTGTCTGGACCCCTGAGGGTCACTTGGCCCTGCTGTGCCCCTCCCCTGCCTGCGGGAGCCCTCTTCCAGTCCTTGGACAGCTCGAGGGCTCTGTGTTAGAAACTAGGAGAAGTGCTTATCTTTCCCCATTCCTGCCCCTTTCAGTTATCTGTCTCTCACAGAGGCATCTCTCCCGCCCTCCGCAGCTTTTTGTATGAGCCACTTTGTATTAATTATTTTTACTTAATAGTATTCCTTGCTTCGTCAGGAGCAGGTGCCAGGCCCTCTGGGACACGGGGAACTGAACTCTTCCTCCTCTCTCAGCACTGCCACCCACCTCTGGAGGCGTGGTCCCACAGAGAATCAGGTAGGTGAAACTTGGACCACCAGGAGCCCTTTCTTGTCCTAAAAGTTTGTTTGTTTTTGTTTTATTTTGTAGTGTGTGTTTTTGTGGGTTGGGCTTTTTTGTTTGTTTGGTTGGTTGGTTGGTTGGTTGGTTGTTTGGTTGGTTGGTTGGTTTTTTGCTCTACAAAATCAGTGCCTTACTGTTAGTTGAGAGTGAGGGCAGGGCATTGACTGCCCAGAATGTGAAGGTCTGGGAGAAGTCAAAGGGAAGTTGGAGAGAGCTGGGCCTCAGGTACTGCGCATGCATCTCAAAAACCCTGCTGTCTGGTTAAAAAAAAAAAAAATCTATATTAGTTCCCCTTTATCCCCACTCATCTTCAGAAAAATATACTGGGTCCTTTTCATACACACTAAGACGGGCTGGAATCAGGTCTAGCTGAACAAGACATTACTTAACTCAGCCAACATGTATTGAAAGCCCTTTATATGCCTGGCATTGTGTTAAGATTATAAAGATGAGTTGGACACAGATCCCTTCTCTCTGGGGTAATCATGGAAGCAAGGGGAAGGAAGCAAAAGAGCAGACTAATACACATTTACCTGCTGTGTCCTGGCAGAATACAGATGGTACACTCAAAATAGGTAATTGAGGAGAGTTCAATGAAGGGATCACTTAGAGAGGTGTGGGCAAAAAGTAAAGAGAAACCAGTAAAAAAGAAATGGGGAAACACCCCCTAACCCCCCTCTCCTTACCATCTAGGCTAAAGGGGCAAGGAGGGGGCATGTAGTGAGACTAGGAAGAGCCATACCTATAGGAGTGAGTCATTGCAAGAAAACCATGGATTTTGGGAGACAGCAAGGAGAGTGAATCCCCCAACCACTCTCTTCCCTGAACATCCAGTCTCTTGCTGGTACCTCCCTTTGCTGAACCCAGCCAGTAATCAGAGGGCATGAGAATGGCGTTGCTGCAGTACTTAGAAGTCAATGCCCAACATCACCACAAGAAAGCTCGGTAAGTGAATCTTGACATCACATCTGCATTGTCAACCTATGGTTGTTGGTACCAATTCAATGAGAATCTCCAATTTGGGGGTGCAGTAAGAAGGAAACTCTATTTAATGCAAAACAGCTCATTGTGATACAGCAGGGGTATGAGATGGCCCTTGGGTCAGACCCCTCTCGAGCTAAATAGTCTGCTATTCTCCTCACTCAGCTGCTTTATTCTGTGCCAGTCTGTTCTGCCTGTGCTGGTCTATCCCACTCCGCTCCAGTGAGACATCTTCTGAGTTTCAGCTCCAGCCAGGGAAACACAGTTTTTAGTGGAAACAGAAAGTGTGCTTTCAGGGACAGAGGAAAGCAGATTTATATAGACGGAAGTCCCTGCCCCTGGTCCCTGATTGGCCTGTCCTCATGCAAATGAGGACTCCAAATCCTCACCATTTGATTGTTCCAAAAGACATTGTCCTTATTGGTCTGAGCCATTCGGATTGGTTGGTGAAGAAGCAGGTGGGGATATAGCTGCACAGCTCTGATTAGATGGGAAAAGCCTCAGTTCTATTGGTTGAAATAGGACTTCAAGAATTCCTTTATATTGCCCAGAACTAAATACATTCGAGTGAGATCTGTAGAAGTTCAGTGAATTGTATCAATGTAAATTTCCTGATCATGATATTGGATTATAGTTATGTAAGACGTTTTATTTCTAACAACTACATGTGAAACTACAATTATCTTAAAGTCGTTTTTTGAAAAAGCAACTCAGATTGGATACATAACAGAAAATAGTTTCTAATAAACTATTTTAAAGTATATAAAAAAGAAATGTTATTTGAATAAGTTCTGAGTATATAATGTACAGCATTGTAACTATAGTTAAAAATGCTATATGTACATTTGAAAGTTGCTAAAATAATAAATTTTTTAAGTTCTCAACAAAGAAAAAAAAAAAGAAAAAAGAATTCCTTTATAAGGGCTGGCTGAGATGGCAGAAACACCATACAGGCAGGCAGTTCAGGGCAGAGGCAGGTAATTCAGTGCAGGTTTTTCCCTGAAGTGCAGTTTACATGAGAGTTTCCCGTGTAAAAATGGCTGCTAGGCTGTTTTTAGTGGGTATCTTCTTTCTCAGGATTCACAACATTAATAGATTATATATATATAAATTATGAGGAACACAGGGAATTATGTGATTCATAATTTGGAGACAAGATTGAATGAAAGTTTCTGCAGTAGTGGCATTTGAGACTTTAAATGATGAGTAGGAGATTCCTAAAAGAAGAATGAGGTGGAGAGGCATTCTAGAGAGAGAATGCATAGAGCAAAGGCCATAATAATAAATGTATGGACTATGATTTGGAAAAGCTGGTGGTCTGGTGTGACTAGACTGTAGGAACTTGGTGAGGAGGAAGGGACATGAGCTAAGCAAAGCAGAATGAGAAACCCCTGATGGCCATGCTGGGGAGTTTCTAGGCCAGTGGTCCTCAAAAATGTGGACTGAAGACCATCACCAGCAGCAGCAGTTGAAACTTGTTAGAAATGCAAATTCATGGCCCCAACTTCACACCTACTGGGTCAGAAACTCTGGGGATAGGTCTTAGCAATATGCATTTTATTGAGCCCTCCAATGATTCTAACACAAGATCAAGTTTCACAAGCACTGCTCTGGGCATTAGAGAATCACTAATGGCATATCATCAGAGGAGTGATGAGATCAGAGCTAATTTTCTCAAAAAATAGTTTGCAGTAAGAGGAGGAAGAGAGTTGGGACAGAGAGAGTTTTATGTGGGTATTTTAATCATTCTGGTAAGAGAACTATGAAAATGCCAATGGGGTAGTGAGATTTGAAGTGAAGGAGAGGCAGGACTAGTGATGATGGACATGCAGGACAAGACGGAGAAGCCAAAGGTGCCACTAAGACTATATATCAATGTACTATTACTGTGATATATTTTATATTACCTGTTGTTTTCCCAGGAACTAGAACTAAGTTTCCTCCTCTATAAAATCAGGCATTTCAACATCATTTCTGCAGTCCTTTTCGACTCCTATGCCAAGCAAATAAAGCTGTGGAGTGATCTGCTGTGTCTTTTCAAGGCAGTGGTTGGAATGATAACCCATGGCATTGCACTGTATCACATCTTAGTTGGCCTCACTTCCCTTTTTGTTTGTCCTGTCTTCACTGACCTGGGTTTGCACCTCCCAAACAAGTTGCTAACATCTTGATTTTTGCCTAAGGCTCTGTTTTGGAGGACTCAGAACCCAATCAATAGAAAAGAAAATGGTATCCAACTCCCATATGGCAATCAAAGCAAAGCCAGTACTACACCCCAAGATAAATGTAAGAAGTAGCACAAAGGTTTGATTTTTCTGCTGATTGCTTTGATGCTATCTGTGATGTTGTAATTTATAATAGGAAATTTATAATATGTATTTGGTATTTGTCCCAGTTTGTGGCACAGACCTATGATCCTTGGACTTTCCCGAAAGCTGAGAGACCATAAAGATGTATTTTATGTTAATGAGGTGACTTGTTATGTTACAGAAAGACCGGAGAAGAACCAAGCAACACTCAGAGAGTTTGGAGTTACACTTTATTCACCGAGGTGGGCTTAGAGAAAATGAATTCAAATTCTAAGCAGAGCTACAAGCAGAACTTCCCTTTTTATGAAAAGAGCCAGCCCTATATGCGCTTAGTGGTTATCTTGCTGGTGGCCTTGAAAACTACACAGTTCTATCCGATTGAAAAAATGCACCTGGCATGGCATTGGGCATATCTAGTCTCTGGCCTACAAGGTCAGACAGCTAAATTTATCTCCCTCATTATTCAAGCAGGCCAAAGCAGGCTAGAAAGCAAAGTTATTTTTTTAGAATAAGAGGCCGTCTAAAGAATAGCAGAGAATTCCAAACAGTTGTTTTACAAAATAGGGGTTAGCCTTCACATTCCTCCCTCCCTTGTCCCACAAGCTTTTTAGCCTTGTGGTACAATAACTACAGGATGTTAAGGTGAACAGGGGTGTCGATCAATCTTTTACTGCTTCCTGCTGAAAAATGACGACGTCCAAGGGGTTAACATCCTGTTTCTTCCTCTTGGAGAGGTTTGTAGGGAATTCTTCTGGCTTGTAGGACCATTTGAAGTTTAAAGGCACCTAGACAGGATGAGATAAAGCGAGTTAACAGATTTAGAAGACGTGGTCCTAGGGTTATGGCTATGAGTAGCATTAACAGTGGTCCTGTCAATGGACCACTGCAGCCCAGGTCTCAGATAACTCCTGTTGAAATGCCAAGTGTTATAAGGAGAGGGTGAGGTTAAGCGTTCGGTAGAGATAGTGAGGACTTAGGAAGCTCTCAAGAGGCAGAGTGTAAACCTGAGAGTGGTCGAGATTAAGAAAGTTCAGTAACAGCAAAAGAGTTAGCCTTAGCTTCATCTTGTTCCTTTTCTGTGTAGCAGTAATTTTATGGTGCTTCTGTATTCCAGCAAGGGCAGAAGAGTTCTCCTCCT